CATTTTAGTCCTTTTTTTTATTTCTTTGGCAATAGCATTATCTTGTAAAGTATAAAAGATTTCCAAGTAGATTGTACCAATCGGATTTATGAGACAGTAAAAATTCAGAAGCATGGTGATTGAAAAAGCATGAAGATCCACCAAAGATATTGTTAAGGACTAGGATATTTATAATTTGCTTAATTGGGACAGAAGGACAATCTTCATTACTAAATTCCAGCTCACTGCAGGAGCTTCAAAATGATTTGAGGCTTATTTTTCCCAGAAAGAGACCATTCTCTTCACTCCTGCAGTGACCATGTGTGTCCTTTTTCTCTAGACTAAACTCATAACTACTCAATACAATAGTAAAACTAAATGTGATATACAATACTTGCTGGACTTCTTGTGGCAGCCAGGGAGGTGATTAGAAATAAGAATAAATTCAAAGTACAGATAACTGTGAAACAATTTGGTTTCGGTATCTAATCTCAATGAAAAATTGACCAGAGACTCTCATATAAGCCAAACTTAATGACTCAATTACAAGTCCTTTGTTTTTCTTGATGGAAAAGAAATAGTAAAGAAGAGGGGAATGGCCAACTTGTAACACAGGGAGGGAGAAGAAACACTTAAAAGTTATCAAAATATGTGTTTTTATCATAGCATTAAAAGAAACATACCAGAAAGAGATTCTAAGCAGAAAGAGATTTCAAGTGTTACAGACTAGAATGGGAGTCACTCTTCCCCAGAGACTCTGAGGACTGTTTGATTTCTTGAAGGAAGGGGGACTTAGGAAGGGCTTTAGACAGGCCCCTTTCCTAGCCCAAGGCCACACCAGAGACACCACTGTTTGGACAAAGAGTATATTACCTGGCATCTTAAATCTTGGTAGACAGACTTTTTCTAGTGGATAAATGCTCTTTTTGCTAAGACATGATTTTAATATATCTATAGCTGTATCTATCTATCCATCTATCTATCTATCTTTCTATCTTGGAGAAAGGGGACTGATTTCTTCATCCATACTTCTCCCTGCCACTTCTATCACCTTGCTTGAAATTTGGAATCACCTACACTTCAGTTTCCACTCCATTGCTCATTCAGAGTCTATGCATATTTTTCCCTAATCACACATCCTGACTCAGTCCCTGAGGATGTCATATTAGCAGAACCTTCCTCCCCACCCTTCCCCCGTGTCTTGTCTTCATAAAGACGAGGCATTTGTTTGCCTTCCACTGCAATACTGCAGGAAGGTTTCTCAGGCTTGCTGACTCCTCTCAGTCTACTTTTATGAGTAGGGATCCCATGTTTCCAGGACAAGATACATGTTACATCTCTTAATTTGCCCAACTCTTCTCTTAAAGTTTAATACTCTTGTTCTGGGTCTGTGGACATATTTTTTCCTTGACTGATTTCTGGCAGTCCACGGTCACTGGAGCCGAGTACATCTACTCTTTTCAGCCAGGGCCTCCCAGATCGTCAGCAGCAGGTTTCACATACTTATCGTGTATTAGCTGGAGGCTTCTGGACACAGACAGGTTACTCTCTAGTTTCCAATGATACCAAAGACAGAAAGAACAAAATCTAGTGACATCAGCTGACATCTTCTATGCTATCCTGATGATGGGAATATAAACTAGCAAATGGTACAAACAAGCCAGGAGTCCAAAACAATAATTAAACGTTAATCCCTTAGATGTAATGATTAATGGAGAGAACAAAGAAATAAAAAATAAATATAATACAAATATAGGACTAGGAAAACTAAAAATGATTTTTCAAATGGAACTATACCTCTCCCAAGAGCTGGTATTTTATTTGGCATTCCAGAAATTTCCAGGAAATTTGTCAACTATATATTTTAATGCATATGTTTTCTAGTGCTTTATTTTTTCTGGTTTAATGACATTTTCCTTGCTGCCTACTGCTAGTCACTTATTTCCATCTTCAATGTAGTTTTTTAACCCTAAATATTACTATTTTCTTTACTCCTCATTTGAGAATTTCTCATTAATAAGGAAGTCTACTCCTCATTGCCTTAACTGTACTGGTACCCAGACAAAGGTACAATCCATAAGACAATTAGCTCTTGGACTTGCATTCTGGAAAAAGAAGAGGCTTGCCAGGAGTGGATGGTATACACACATTTCAAAAAAAAGGAGAGATATATGGTTTGCTGACTACAGATGGTGATCAGAAGGTTACAAATATATTCAGTTGAAGAAGTGCCCAAATAAACTGTTCTTTTAACTTTTTCCAGCAGCAAAAGAAGTAAACTTAAAGGAGTTTCTAACTCAGAAGTTCTGGGGTAGGGCCCGAGAATTTGCATTTCTAACAAATGATGCTGATGTTGATGCTGCTCGTTCAGACTACACTTTGAGAACCACAATCTTATTTCAATGGTCATATCAAGGGTTCACGAAGAAAACATGCTGTGTGAGCCATCACAGAGCTCATGCTCATCAGAGGTACTTACCACTTTTGTATTTGCTTTTCCTGGGCTTAGGGGATAAAGAAGAAAGCATGCAGCATAGTTGGAAGCATGTCCTTAGATGAGTGGACAATGGCAAGGTAAAGGCTTGGAAGTTTTAATTTTTATTCATATGGTGGGGTGATTTGTTTTTGCTTCAAAGGGTAGAGCAACAGTTTTCAATCTTCATTGTGCATCAGAATCAGCTGGTGTGCCCCAGAGATTCCGATTCAGTAGATCCTGGAGAGGATCGAGGAATCTACCTATTTATCCAGCATCCTGAATAATTTTGAAGCAGATCTTCTAAGGACTAAACTTTAAGTAATAATGATTTTAGAAGAATAAAATAGAAATCCAAGTGGAGACTTGACAAATCAAAGACGCTATCAGGTATATTCTCTTTAGAGTTGTACATAGGTTAAGCACTAGAGCAAGATGCAGGGGTTTATCATTTTTTAAAGAAGAGGCAAGGAAGGAAGCAGATCAGAGACTGACAGTGAAGACAGGAAGCAGTGAAGAGCAAATGAGCTGATCAGTTAAGAGGTGATGTGGTTTTGCTTTGTGTGCTCAAGACCAAATACGAGAGGAAGGAATCTGGATGAGGGAATCGCTTCTACTTTTAAACAAAGAGCTAGCAGAGAGGAATATACCTTCCAAAAGTCACGTGTGAAAAGGCAAAAATTAGGAGTGGATGGCAAGAGACCAGGCAGCAAACCAAGGAGTTTGAGTGAGAGTGGGGGTGGAGGTCTTGGGGTGTTAAGGGCATGTCATCAACAAGGCAGATTCCAGTGGCAAATGGGCACGAAATACTGCAGGTGTAGCCAATGCAGACCTGGGGAAAAACTACCTGTACCCAGTCTATCCAACTATCCAACCATGATTAAAAAGAACGAAAACACTACTCTGTATGTGTGTTTACGTGTGAATGCACATGAGTGTGTGTGTGTGTGGGGAGGGGGGAGAGAGAGAGAGAGACAGAGAGAGAGACACAGAGAGAGAAAGAGAGAGAGAGAGAGGACAAGTAAAGACACCAAGCCAACAACAACCTGTTTGGATGTCATCAACATGTCTGAGTATTCAATCTTCTGATGAGGCATCAGGACTGTCAAGGAGCTAATCTCTCCAAACATGTTCACTTGTATTAACAACAGAAGTAAAGATGGAAATTCTTGAAAGTTCAGCCTTTAGAAGGCAAAAGGAAAAATAAATAATATTTGTATATCAAATATTCTGTCTTTGGAGCAGCGTGGCATAATCTTGTTTTTAGTCCTGTTGTGTGCACACATATGTGTGTACACTAGATTTGGTTTTTACAAGTACTTTATCATATCATTTAGTTCCCCCCAAATTGCAGGCTCATTTGATTGCAAATCTCTATTTTAACTATTTCTTCACCTGAAATCTTTTTTTCTTCCCTACCTAAACCCCATCTTCACAACCCAGCTCAAGTCTCACCCTTTCTACAAGATTTTCCCTGACTATTACAGAGTTTACTGAACTTTTCTATTTCTGAATTTAAGTCATAGGCAAGTATTACCTTCTATGTACCCCCCTATTCTCCTGAGCTCAAGCACAAAGTGTTTGCATTTAGAAGGGTCCCAATAAATTATTGTTTGATGAATTAGGAAAAATATAGGTTGAATCCTCCAGTAATGAAAACTTTTGACTTCCTCCCCAGCATACATTCCATTTCACCCTCTCTCATCACATAACAGCCACTCCTCTCCTAGCTCCAGAAATGAGCCTTAATTGTCAGTATAACTCCACCCATGTGGCTACAGTGATTGGTTCAAGTGTAGACCAATGATCTGACCTGGGTCAATCAGAATGAAGCTCAGGACATTTGCTACTCTATAGTGGGGAGAAGTTCTCTCTTCTTATGGATCCTGTGGGGTGCAGATGTGATGACTGGAACTGCTGCAATCAGTTTGCTAACATGGGGGAAGACAGCCTGAGTAAAGCCAATACCCAGGAGAAGGCACAGCATCACTCAGAATAGAACTTAGAACTCTGAGCAAACCATGCAGAAGCCACTGCCACGTCTGGAGGCTTCAGTCATTTGAGCCAATATATCCCCTTTATATATAGTTTAAGCCAGGTAATGAGATTTTCTATTACTAATATGCCTCCCTATTGTTTGCTGAGTTTTCCCTATTTTTAAATCTTTGGGATACAATACTGAATCTGTCTTCTTGCAACCTAATTCATTTACGGAAATAGCAGCAATCTTGCATAGCATTTACTGCCCTCATAAGATCATTATATATTTTTGCTGCCTATGCTGAGTCTAACCAAAGTCATCTTCACAAGTGGTAAAATAAGAAATTTAAGAACTGTTTCTATGACAATTTCTGTTTAAGGTGATCAGTGTTCTCACGCACTTAGATAGTATTGATATAGACTTATTAATTTATATCACACATTTCCTGAACGTTGACATCCATTTTAATTGTGTGTAGATAGACATACAGTGCCAAGAGGCCTTTGCAAAAGACGGGTCTTTGTTTAACATCCTCAGTGTTTATGGCAACATATTAAGTGTAGGTACCTTTTCGATGAAACTGAAGAGATCCCAGCAGACATATGGATTTTAGCATCTCTGTGGCGTACATTTCTAAGCAGCACTGCAGCTGGATGTAAAGCCTGCAGATTTCTGGATGAATCTCACCATCTTCGGGGCTGCAACAGAATGAAAGAGAAAAGCTGTGAACATTCTCAAGATTTCACTCATCAGTCATTTGTCTCAGCTCCGAGATGGGAAAATGCTCGATAAAGATTCCTCAAAGCCTGGAGTCTAAAAAATAGGACTTTCTCCTTTCAAACCAGTGACCAAAGTCACAGTTCTTACATAAGTGTCTTTCTGACTAACAGCTCTTAATTTTTTTCCCCTTCAGCAGCAGATTTCTTCTGGGAGCTTAAGATCATAAATGTTTTAAGTAATTGAAAATATCAGACATTTTCAATTTAAGTGTTGGAACAAATTTCCAAAATATATTTAAACTATAAAAATATCTTAGCCTGCAAGAAGAGATTAAAAACTCTTATTTTTAGAGAAACTAGCGAAGAGCTCTTCAATTATTAGTTATAAGATAGCTCTTTAATATTAAGGCCCTGGAATAATATGATTAGAGAGTCATTTGATACAAATGGCTTGATACAAATCATCTTTATCAAGGTCTTTTGTCTCAGTCTAAAGGATATCCCTTTATTGTTTGCTATGGTTAATTTATCAAAGGCCAAACGTTTTTAATGAAAAAATAAAAATTTTATGAAGAGAAAAGTAATAAAATTCTAATAATTATGCTTAACAATCTAAAGCTAAATAAACACTGAACTTATGTTCTATAATTTGTACTGAAGTCCCTGAGCCTTTATCTATTAACTATGATAAAATATATAAATGTGAATATGATGAAACACGAAGTGATCACTTTTATCTTTTGATTAAGAAGAAAGGAGTTAGTTGTGACAAGACTCTTTCTTTTATATGCAACTAAAATAGCCTGTGTTGAATAAAGCAAGCTAAATAAAAGAGATGATGTTTAGAGATAGATTAGAAATGGAAGAAGCATAAACGTGAACTCTGTCAACTGTCCTAATGTGCTATCTTTACTTCTATCCCCACGCATTTAAAATGCAGTGAAATCTTATTAGATAATGCAGCCTTTGGATTTGATTCCTTTGTAAAGTGGGTCAGTGGCAAAATGTCAGGAGTAATTATCAGGAAAAAAAAATGGTGGCTTCATTTTTATTTAAGTTTTGAAATCACAGTAAAAAGAATTTATATTTACACAGCCCTTTACCCTGATAGTTTTCATTTTCAATACTTATTTAGTAGATGAGCCAGAGTTGGTCTAACTGTGTGGCTTACACAACACAGGAAAATGCAAGATTCTTTGCCTCAGTACCAGTGTTACCTGCACAGGCATCCTGTCTTTCCTGTGTCAGATAGAACAAAATGCCTTAAAAGAGCTTACAAGCAAAATGTGGCTTCATCTGAAAAATAAAATTCTACATCACTTTCTCATTGCGTCTCATGGGTCCAGCCCTAGGCCAACATTGGAAGCATGTCTATCCTTGGCAAAAGTCCCAGATTTCCTTTCAGAGCTTCCTCCCACAAGTGCCTTCCACCTTCGGGCTGTCCTCCTGCTACCTGGAGTTCCTCCACACCCCCTCCACCACACACACACACACACACAAAGACTCATCATTTCACATCATTGTCAGCCTTTCAAAATGTCTCTGACTGTGTCCTACCCCTCATGGCCCTGGTGGACTCTGAAGGAATAATGGGCATCAATGGTCCGTGTAATAAAAACTGATCCTGGTGTATTAGCTGCTAATACATTGCTTTTGATAGAATAATTTGAAGATAGTGTCTTACCCCAAAGGCAGGCAAGCGGGAAAAGATTTTAAGGCAGCCAGGTCCTTTCTGTGCTGCTCCATCATCCCAATCATAGCTGCCTATTTTCACCTATGCATAACACTGGCCCTGGTGGCTCATATGCAGATTTAAAAAACACCCTATCATAAATCTGCTGGTGAATTGTACATTTGATGAGTGGGACAATTAGCCAGTACAGTAGCATTCCAAGCCATGGAGTATTCTTATTTTCAGAAGTACAAAATATGTGCCTAATGGCTTAGTTCCAAAAATATGCAAACTTCATATATAGATGACATTTTATGTAACTTAAAGAAATGACTACCATATTAACATATCTTAAGAGACAGTATATTTTGTTTATTATTTTATAGCTAGACAGAAGGAGATAAAGCAATGTATTAAGTGCTTCTGTAAAAAGGCAAGTGAGAATAGAGATTAAAATGCCTAATTCATAACATTTCCTTGGATGCCATCTCCTTAACGCCTCTGTAACCAATGGAGGTTCAAGAAACTGTGGAACCATTTCTCCTTTCCTAAATGTTATGGGAAGGAACTGAATCGATGCCATCAGAAATGAAATCCCCTAAACAAAAATTAATTGATGCTAAAGTTGCATTATAAATTTTCTGGTTAAAAAATTCACACATATACTGGCTGATTATCCTTTAATATCTTGGAAAGTTGAAGTATAGAGAAAGAAAGGAACTAGTTAAAGAGCAGTCAGAAAGTTAGGATATCTTTTATGTTAGTGTTTCACACTGCCTTAACCAGGTTACACTGGCCTCAGGACTTGTACAGTTCATTTCTCCCATTTTAGAGCTCTAAGCTATATTTCTGCTACTGATTACCAAAAGTTCATTAAAAGACAAATTGTCAAATGAGTTATAATATGTCTAACGTTATAAGCAGTGGACCGAAATACATTTTTGAGAAGCATTAAGAGCATTTAGATTACTTTCATAACAAATGAGCAAGAGTCAGAGCACGGAGAAGGAAGGAGAAGCCAAGAAAACGGCAATTTAAAAGCTTGAGACTTCTCAGGGATAAATTATAAAGCCCAAGGAAACATTTACATTAAAATGAAATTAGGCCTGTGGACTTCCTCCAGGAACTGGAAGCAACTTAACCTGGAGTTATTTATTTATGCTTCTCCTAAAATGATTCGCTCTTTGTAATCAAAGTTTAGTCTAGGAGAGCTGCCCCTGAGGTGATGCTCATTCAATTCAGTCAAAGAAACTTTGAGTTAGTGACTAAGTTGTGATTATTTTTCTATTGAGCTTAAGTCAAGGACTAACCTGATCATTTTGATTAATTTGAAAGTCTTGGTATTAATAGAAAAACACCCTAAAAATTAACTTTAACAATAGTTCAGCAATTTAGACCTCAAGCAGAATTCAAAAACATTTAAAATAAGCACCAAATTATGAGTCTTTCAATCAACTCTTTAAGGATGAGAATTAGGATTTAATATGTTAATCATATGACTTAAGAAATCCAAACTGGTTAGTCCTAGGGGTACATGAATACAGACATTGCCTAAGTTGCCCCTTGATAATGGAAATGCTCTCTATTGTGGATATTCTGATTTTGCAATTCAAAAAGTGATACACTGAACAACCATCAGAACGGCTAAAATTAAAAAGACTGACAACACCAAATGTTGACGATGATGTGCAGCAACAGAAATTCTCACACATTGTTGGCTGCGGCGGGGGGGGGGGGTGGGGAGGGGGGGGGGGGGTGGTTTAAGGGTACAATTCCTTTGAAAACAGTTCTGGAAGTTTCTTACAAAACTAAACATACACCTAACCTATGACCCAGCAATTCCAGTTCTAGGTATTTACCCAAGATAAATGAAAACATATTCACAAAAAGATCTCTGTAAGAGTGTTCAGAGTAGTTCTATTTAGAGTAACCCAAAACTGGAAGCAGGCCAGGAGTCTGTCAAGAGGAAGGCGGATAAAGAAACTAGTATATTCCTACAATACAATAATACTCAACAATTAAGAGGAGTAAACTTCTGGTACACAAAACACCATGGATGAATCTCAAAAACATGATGCTGAGTGAGAAAATCCTTACACAGAAGAGTACCTGTTTAGAACAGATAAAACTAATCAATAGTGACAAATTATTAGAACAGGTGGAGAGGGAATTGACTGGCAAGGGCCATGAGGGAAGGATACGTTCTGGGGTGAGGGTAATACTCTATATCTAGAGGGTTGAGTTACATGGGTGTATACATTTGGTAAAACTTATTGAATGGTACACTTAAGATTTGTGCATTGATTATAGGCAAATTTTACTTTAAAAAAAAAAGAACCATAAGCAAACATGGAACCCTAGTAAATGATACGTGTACTGAACTGTTTAGGGGTAAAATTTACTACTGTCTGCAACTTCAGAAAAATAAGATGGGTTGCTGGTTGGAGAGAGGGATGGACAGATAGGTAGATACGTGGTAAAGCAACCATAATAAAATGATAACTATAGAATCTAAGTGATGAGTATTTCCTTATTGCCCAAGCATTTACATTTCCCCAAATAATTACATGACATAAATTGAACAAAACAACTGAGCAGATTTATGACTAGTAAGGTCAAGTTCAGAAGTTAACACACTGGGGATTTTAGTTACAAAATGCCTTGGCCCGCATCTGTCTGCTCTTTGCCCCGTTTTGCCAAGTTTGGTGTTCTGTGAAGCTGCTAATGGCTTTTTAAAAACCCTCAAAATGTGTGTTGTTTTGAAAGTCTGTCCCTAATGGTGATGGTTTATATACTTAGTTGAAGGCAGCAAGACATAATAAAAAAAGTGAGTTCTGGACTCAGAAAACTTAGCTCTAAATAGAGACTTTGCTGAGAATTGTGATCTCAGAAAAACCACTTTAATTTCCCCGGGACTCAGTTTCCTCAGCTGTGAAACAGGGATAACGCCTATTCACGATGACGGAAGGATCTCAAGGTTGTTGCAAGGATCAAATGAGATTATGCGGGGAAAACAAGCAAAAACTGTGAAGGATTGTTAGAAGTTGGCTGCAATCAATCTTAAGACATCAACGTTGGGCTTACTTAGCCTTATGCTTGCATATAGCCTGTAGTTTTAAAAATTATCTGCTAATGTGGTACATATATACAATGGGATACTACTCAGCCACACAAAAACTGTGAAATTGTCCCATTTGCAACCACATGGATGAACCTTGAGGGCATCATGTTAAGCAAAATAAGCCAGACAGAGAAAGACAAACACCATATGATTTCACTCATATGTGAAATATCAACAAACTTATGG